TCTTTACCGGCGACGTGTCATCGCTATTAGCTTTAGCGGCGACTTCTCGATCCTTTACCGGCGACTTTTGTCGCCGCTAATTGCCGGTTTTCTTGTAGTGTGTCAAAGATGACATTTGGCCATCATTTTCGACAAAGACATTACTTGTTAGTATTCTTATGTAAAACCATTGTTAATGCTTGAAGTTTGATTTGCAATGATGACATGTTATTAGTAATCTAACATGAAAGTAATCATATAAATTAGTTTATGACCTTTAGGCTTGAGGGAGTGGCCTCACCACCCCTCTCGCCAAAACCTTCGCTAAGATATGGTACACCATTCCTTAAGAGTCGCTAAGCAAGTTGCCAAGACTAGCTCGCCAATGAGGCAACGTGAAGAGAGAGAAAGGTGTAAAGGTTTGGGATTGGTTGTTGCACTTAGACTCTCATTTAATCACCTTTGACCCTATTTTTTATTTAAAAAAACTATTTTTTAAGACATGCTAGGGGTGTTACCACTCCCTATGAAGTGTTAAGGACAAAATGTTAGTGAGGTGGAAGGCAAGAAAATGATGTGGCAGCAAAAAAATAATGTGACAAGGTGCTAGGAGTGCTACCACTTCCTCTAGCCTTAGTGACAAAGAAATATAAAAACCAACACCATCCAGTTTTCAGAAACCGTCACCAAAAGCCAGTTTTTACAAATGTCAACCATAAATTAAGAATTTCTAATGGGTCGTTTTCAGCAAGATTTTCTAAAAACAAGATGTAAATTTAACAAGTAATGATTAAATGGAAATATAATAATTATTTATTGGGATAATGACCTGTGAGGGTAATTACCTTTTCGTCTTGTTCACGTTTAGGTAACTTCATTTTTTTTGTACATATTTGACTATTTAATTTGTTAAATATGTTAACATATTACCATTGTTACCTGCTATAGCAGGTGACAATGGTAATATGTGAACATATTTAACAAGTTAAATGGTCAAATATATACAAAAAAAAGAAAGTTGTCTAAATGTGAAATTTTTTTTTTTATAAATTTCTTTAATTTTTTTTATAATTTCTTACAACATTTTTATGATATTTTTTCACATTCTTTTACAAATTTCTTAAAATTTTTATAATATCTTACAACATTTTTATGATATTTTTTTGTCTTATAGGTTTTTCTAATACAATGTTTTAAACTTTGCTTATAAATTTTTTTCAACGTCTTTATACTTTCATATAATTTTACTACAAGTGCTTTTAAACCAAATATTTTATAAATGTTTTAAAATTCTCTTACAAGTTTTTTTCTTGTTTTTTTACATTCTCATATCTCAGTGGTCAATGAAAATGTACTAGTGTGCTGTCTTAACATGCAAAAATTTTTCTATAACTTCTATATATTTATTTCTAAACTTTCTTTACAATATTTTTAAAGTTTTTCACAGATTTTGTATGACAATTTAATATTTTTTATAACATTTTAAAATACTTTCGTTAAATACTAGTTTAAAACGTTGTATTAAAAAAATTAAAATTTATAAACTTCTAAGTAAAAAGCATTCAAAAGTTGGAATAATTTTAAAACATTTACATTATATTGATTTTTTTTGTTTTTTTTATTTGGTAAGTAATATTTTCTTTTTAATTTTTTAAAAGACCCTCCATATTTATTGTTACATATTTAATTTATTTAATTTTATTGTTAGATGGTATTTACTTTAAAAATATTGTATATGCTTCAAAACAAAAGAATATATATATATATATATATATATATATATATATATATATAGATATATATATATATATATATATATATATATATATATATATATATATAAGAGGCTACATAAAACATTTTACAAAACAAAAACATATTTATTAATTAAAAAGTAAAGTTTAAAATTGATAACTATTTAATTAATTTTTAGGAAATTATGAAAACTTAAATATGAAAAAAAAATATAATGTTTGAAAAAAATAATACAAACAAATATGAAAAATTAAATCGCTATTAAAAGTGGGGAAAATGACTTATCAGGGTAATTAACTTTTCGTTTTATTCATATTTAGACAACTTTTTTTTGTACACATTTAACCATTTAACTTGTTAATTTGTTCACAAATTACCATTGTCACCTGCTATAGCCAGTGACAATGACAATATGTGAACACATATAACAAGTTAAACGCTCAATATAAAAATAAAAAAATTGCCTAAATATAAACAAAACGACAAAGATAGTTACCTTGTAAGTCATTTTCCCTTATTTATTTGGAATGGGGACAGATTTTCTAAAAACAATATGTATATTGAACATGAAGATGATTAAATGGAAATATAAGTTATTTATTTGGAATGGGGACATGAGAAAGCTAAAAAGAAAAGTTTTAAAAAGGCAAAGATATATGCAGAGAGAAGTACAGAATTATCCCTGCCAATAAAATCCATGTGGCAGGAGACTGCCGGCCCTCCCCTTTCTTTCCCCCTCATCAAAAAATAATTTATTTTGTCAACATAGATAAATACACAGAAAGATGATTAAGTAGTATTTATTTTATATTATAAATTACAGAATTGTATATATCATTATTAACAATAAACATAAAATTACGTAAATGTCATATATTTTTATTCTTTTTAAATAAATAAGTAAAATATTTTTAGGAACTAATCGCAAGTTTTAATTTTAATACATGTGAAACTGCAAAATGTGAACTACAATTTTACTAACATTTTCAATCCATCATTATATCTACACTAAAAAGTAAAAAGTTAGTGCAAATAATGTTTAATCATAAATTCCATGTTTTTTATATCAAAAATTATATTATTAATATATTTTATATTTATAATTTAGTCAAAAACAAATTTTCTGTTAATTAACAAATATATGTTGCATCATTTTTATCCAATATATTTATAAATTATTAAGGTTAATTGCATGTTTTATTAAAATATTGTATGGTAAGAGATACATAAAATTTTAAATAATATGTTATCATGTTTTAAGTATTTAAAATAAATTTAAATTTTCAAGTAGATTCGAAACATAAAAATTAAATTTTATATTACGATGATCTAATATCATATTGACATACAACATGATATTATAACAACAAATAGTCACATATAAAATATAACAATAAATAGTTACATATAAATTATAACTATTCAATAAAAAATAAACTAAAAATATATGAACTTAACGACTAAACTTTTAATAAATAATTTATAATCAAATTTGATATTATAAACTTTTTTTAGATTAAAATATTGTAAGTAATGAAATTTGGTTGAGAAAGAATGAAGAAAAAAATATAATAAAAATAGAATTTGTAGTGAGTTTGGATATAAATAATATTTATATAAACAGTTATTACATATCACATGTGGTAACATATGAGAATCAAAATCTTGGAATCCAAGGCGTATTATAAACACATTAATTACCCACTTTATCCAATTTATAATTTTAATTTTTTTCTTCAAATCACTCTAATGTTTCCAAAACCAAATGTACAAAATCTGAACTTACTTACTTTGTGTCAAACTGAACATATTTAAAATATTCAAACTAGATTAAAAATAATACTATGATAAATTCAATTTCACAAGAATCCCATGACTATTTTGGGGAGGATTGAATGAAAATGTTATATTGGGATTTAGGGGTTAGGTGTGAGTGTGGGTAAGTTGTACATATTCATGAAAAAATTATGGTTCTACAGAAGTACATGCATACATTTAATTGTTGAAAATGAATTATTAATGTATCACTTAATGTATTGAAACCTTTTTATTTCCATTGTCTCCTATAAATCTTTATTTATTTTCACTTAAGCTAAAAACTAAATGCAAATATATACCTTTTATATATAATTTATCCTCACAAATCAATCTCACTAATATCTCATAATATGTTTTTGTCAAAGAATAAAAGATTTAAACTGATATCATAAATGTATTTGATGAAATATACAAAATGTCAATAATTAAAAATAAAATTTAAGAAAGACAATTTCGTATACTTTTAAACCATCCAAGATAATAATTTTTAAATTATTATATTTATTTAGGCATTATATAGAAGACAATAATTCTGTGGAATCTTTTAAATAATTGTGCTCGCACACCCTGTTTTTACGACTCCCATGTGTATACGAAACTCTTATTGGATTTATCGCCCTTTTTAATTATATTTATTAACTTTTTTTGGTACAAAAATATTATTAACAAATTAATTACCCACTTCCCTCCTTCTTTCCTTTCTCTTTGAAAATGTCAACATCTGTTAATTTATTTTATAATTATCAAGCATCATCTTTATTATGTAACTTGACCTTTACAACCTATTTTTCATTTTTTTAAATTTGTTATTTTCCACTTTGGGAGGCTGTACCCAAGTTGTCCCTTTCTTTCTTTTCTTAAAACAAAATTAAAACGGAATAACATTTATCGATCAATTTAGGTTTGCTTTCAAACCAAGAGAAGTTTGTAGATTATGATTTGATTTCTCTTTCGGGTTGCTTTCAGACCAACATAATTCTGAAGATTGTAATCCTTTGTTGCTTGAAATTCAAGATTAACGCGTTATGATTTCTTGATTTTTGTTGGTTGGAATCTGAATTCGATCATCGTTTCCCTTTCTGTTCTTCTCCCCCCTTCAAGAAAATTCGTTGTTCTTTTCGCTTTTTCCCATCGAATCGTCGTCTGTTCTTTATTCAGAGTATTCCCAAAGTTTCCAGTCTCTTTTCTCTCTCTGTTTCTTTCTCGTCTGTGTGTGTGAGAGAGAAAGAGGCTGATTGCATGCACTTGAATCAGTTTTTCTCTATCTGGTTTTGTTCAAAGGATTAGGGATTTTGGCTCTTTCCATTCGATTTCCACAACAAATCCTGTTATTGTTTAGCTTCTGTGTGTGTTTTTAGTGCGTGAGAGACAGGGAAAGAAGGCGGATTAACTGCATGCACTTAACGCGTTATTTTATTAAAAAATTCGCTCTGGTTGATTGAATTCCGATGAAGTCTCTGGATTTGTGCGTGGATTTCAGGTGAGAGAACTTGTTCCTTTGATTGCGCAATTACTAGCAATTAATTGTTGAATTCAGTAAAGTTCACCTGCTTCTTTTTCAAGTCGATTGAAATGCATGTATGAATTTTGCTACCATTTATAAGTTTCAAATGGATTTAATTGTAACAAAATTGAAGCATTTAAGATTCTTTGGAGTCCGTTTGAGTTCTCTTCTCTCTAAAAGCTTGTTCTTAATTGTAACTGCATTAATCATCCGAACCCTTTTCCTTCCGGAATCCTTTAGATTTAGAACTCGTAACCTCCATGAATTCGATTCGTTAGAATCAAAATCCGGAAACCCCAGAACGAGATTCTTAGAGGTACCCCAGATTGTATGGGGATTAAACAATCAAAAAGATCGCCTTCGCAAGAGCTTGCTTAACTGCAAGATTACTAAACAGAACCCTTCTCATGCCTAGCTTAAGCGCATCTTTATTCTACAAAGAAATCGATCAATTACAACCGATTTCATTTGATAAAGTGTTTCAGTTCGATAAATTCAATTCACTCTGTAAAGGGTTTGTCCAATTGGGTCGATATTCTGATCTCCATAACCACAGCGACATTGTTACTGTTCAAAAGGGAAGTGGCAGACGATGGACGCCTGAAAGAGATCTCGATCAATTACACAACTTGAAGCATGACGAATCCGAGACGATTCGTGTAGCTGGAAAAAACCCGTTTCTATGGCATGATCATTGGCCTGTGAAAGATTATGCGCAGGTGTTTGAATGCTTAGTTTTAGTAGAAGAATTCTCAAACGAAGCTGATAAAGTTGTAGCCAAGATAAGAGAATTCGGCTCCAAATCCAAATCCAAATCAAAATCAAATATCGATTCTCCATATGTAGCAGTTCATATGAGGATTGAAAAAGATTGGATGATACACTGCAAGAAGCTAGAACAAAGATCAAATGTATCAGAGATTTGTAGTAGTAAAAACGAGATCACAAGTCGGGTATCCAACATCCCGGGTCTAAAAACACCAACGGTTCTTTACCTTGCTGTAGCTGATGCACTTCTTGAAGACAGGTCGATTTTGAACGGGTGGGGCCCCGGGTTGCACCCGGTTGAGAAGAAGAAACTGGGTGTTGTAGAGATTTACAAGAATCATCCGTATTTGATTCAATCTGCTATCGATTATGAAGTTTGTTTGAGGGCAGATGTGTTTGTAGGGAACAGTTATTCGACATTTTCGAGTTTAGTTGTTCTTGAAAGGAGTCGGAAGATGGTGAAAATGGGTGTTAAAAGAGGATGTGGGATTGGGATGAATGTTAAATGGCCATCTTTTGCTTATAATTTGAAAGGGGAGTTTGGAGGTCCGAGGCCATGGATGACTGATTTTTTGGATTCAAGTTTACAGGCAATTAGTTATGGGTCTAATAATATTTCATGTTGAGTTGAGGAAATTGGTTAGGATATAAATTGGGTTATATATTACATTGATGATTCTTTTTGTAAACATGGTGAGTTGTATAGATATTGTTATACTGAATCTTGTAAACAATTTAAGGTTGTGTTTCTATTGGAAAATCTTTGATATTTAATTACTTAACAGGTAAAATGCACCGGTTTACGTCAACATGTTTCATTCCTCAACCATTATGCTCAATCGCAAATGCAATTTGTCACAATTTGAGAATTTCATATTTTTGAGTTTTTCATTTTCTTTGAGTTTAGTGACTTTTTTTTGTGTTTTATCAAAGCATCTTGCTTTTGTTTTGTGTTTGGGGAAACATTATGTAACCATTGTGGGACAGGTGATATCAGATGGTTAGTCAGCTTCGGGTTAAACGATCACTAAACCGACCGATAATGTTGACTTTGGGTCAATTGGTTTTCAGCTTGTCATGATCGACTTAGTCAACTCAAATTATAATTTTATGTATTATTTTATTTTTGAAAAACAAAAAATCTTGTGAATACGAAGAGAATGATAAGAATTGTCACTAAAAGAACATGTGCTTCCTTGGGCCATTCCAAACAAATAAAAGAACTTGCCCCAATTTTTTATACTTTTTTAAACGATCTTATCCTCACGGTAAAAATTGTCAATTTTGCACTTGGAATGTTGGAATTTATGCATGACTTCCTTTAAAGCCAAAAACAAAAATGTTTATCTTTATTTTATAAAAAATGGTCCTTTCTTTACGTCATTGTCCATGCAATCCTTTGCTTTAATTTTGAAAACTAGATTATAACCCGCGTTAAACGCGGATGAACATATTAAAAAAATTACCAAAACATTTATATATATTGCATAATAAGTATAAAAGAAAGTTTATGGCTATTGTTATTATTGAAAGGTGAAGAGGAAACACTGAAATCGATAAATAACTATAAACGTTGCAGGACCTCTTTGTAGACAACGTTTTTTTGTTTTATTAGTTGAACGACCTTCCTCGTCACATATGAGTATCTTCAAACCTTTTTTGCTTGGTACACAAGAAACAACTACATATAACTAACCATGGGTGAAGACAGGTCTACACAAGTATAATCCAACATTTGATAATGAATGTCCTTGACTTTTGTTAATGGTCATAGTGAAACAAACTCCTATTGGGAATTACCTACGTTGAAAACAGAATGAAATTTTTTTATCGGATGGGGTCAACTTCATGCGAGGTATATAAGTAGTCTCGTTGAAAAATCTACCAGATATGATTCGTGCTTCAATGACGTGTCTTCCAAGCCTTACGATTTGTAATCTAGTACCATTGCATAGTCCTCTGGTTTGGTCGATATTACGAAGTAACATGACCGGAACACCTTTTTTTTTAGTATAAGTTTATGGTTGGGAATTCCGGAGGCTTTAAAAGCGTTCAACACATCCGGAGAGTATACTGATTCCTCAAAAGAATCTTCTGTATCGGTCTCACATAAGGAATCTGAACTCAGATATGTTTTCCCTTCATCTTTCATTAATTCTAACATGTAGTCGTTGATAGCATTAACTTCTTCATTAGTAGGGACCAAAATAGCTTTATCTTGAAAATACGATGGATCATCAAGATTGTTCTGAAAAGATGAATAAATGCAGGATACAATTGAATGAATATGGTCACCCGTAGAGGGAACGATCACATCTTCTGGAAATTCAACTTCAACTTCACCATCATTAGGACCACTGATAGTACCTTCACCAATTTTAAGAATCCAATCAGCAAATGATTTTGTCTCTTCGAAATCATTGTTTGGACAACCGAACTGAAGCCTCATATTTACAATCAAACGTAAAATTGTACATTCACGCCATAATCTTGATGAATGCAATGATGCCTGCACAATATCTGAACGATTTCCTCTTTGTATTACTGGAAGAATTTGTTGAAAGTCACCTCCAAATACAATGGTCTTGCCTCCAAATGGTTTATCATTGTTCTTAGGAAGGATAATATCTCTAAGTGTCCTATCAATTGCTTCGAAACAATGACGATGCATCATCAGGGATTCGTCCCAAATTATAAGGCTCGCTTTGTTTAACAGGGCAGCTACATCGTTACCTGGCGTAATAGAACAAAACGATTTCTCATTCAAGTTAATTGGTATATGAAATCTTGAATGCGCTGTCCTACCACCAGAAAGAAAAATCGTCAATGATAATTGTCAAATAATCATAATTGCTAAATTTATTCAAGTTTTTCCAATTTTGGAATCTTAAGGGTATGAGGAGCAACACCATCTTTTGAGGAAGACCATTCAAACGATTCAGTGGTGGTAACAATCTCAATAGGGCGTTTCAGTGAAGTAGTTGTCGGTGTCACCGCATCAAGATCAACAACATTAATATTGTCACCTTCAACAGGAACACTATTTTCCTGTATCAAATTAATAAAACAATGTTAATTAACAACATTAATATTGTCACCGCATCAAGAATAAATGTTTATTAACAATGTTAAAATGCTAAATTATATGAATTTAATTTTACCTTAATAGACTTGTTGATAGGAGTACCATCAGAATGAATACTGTTTTCTTCGTATGCAGGTGAATGTTTGAAAATTGCACCAACTACAAGTTCATCATCAGTCATCTTATGAACGGTATAGGCGTGATAATTATTCTCGAGATTAAACTTTGAAATTTGAACTTTAAAAACAAACTTCCTATTAAGCATCGTATTGAACTCATCGGGGATCTTTTGGCGTCCTTGATCCTAAAGAATATTATATTAAAACATGTGAGTAGTTAATAAATCCCGATTAAACTAAAATGCAATAACAATATACGGTTAACTTGTCGTGTGTACAAATTAATAGACTAGTATAATATAACGCTACTTTTGATATCTTTTCCATCAACCAATGATTACCGCGGTGAATAAGATCTTTAACATGACGGTCAAACAATACAAAAGAAGCAGACCCAGTTTCATCTTGAACACGTATTACGACCCTTACCCTAAATATTATTGTATGACACGTTAATGGACAATGAAATAAAAATTGAAACATTGTAATAAAGATTCATGAGACAAGAAGTTTACAAATGTAAAATTATGAACTTACTTGCCAAATACATCAGAAACTCCTCTGCAACCATTACAATTAAATGGTTCACCATCATTATCATCACCATTTTTAGTTACCTTTTTTGAACAGTCACGACAATAAAAAGAATACTATCCTTCCTCCAAATCGACACCGATTATAGTAGCAATGATAGACAAACCGATTTCCTGATCGGTATATATATATATATATATATATATATATATATATATATATATATATATATATATATATATATATATATGCACACACACACATTTAAAAAATTGTTATATATAATGGAAAAATATGAATAATATTAAGTATACCTCATTGTAATCTGGAATATCATCAATGTTTTTGATTTGAAAACGGAGGTAGTAATCTTCTGGCTTGGCCACAACAATTTCTGTATTAAGTTGTGTAGTATTAATGGAAGACTCAACATTCAAATCGATATGAGCAATGCTACATATAAGAAGGAAAAATGAAGAAGATCAATAATAATAATAATTATTGATTAAGAATAAGTAAAAATAAAACAGTAAATAATTATATCATAGTCATCAAATACATACACCTTTTTAAATTCTGAAATATGATGCATATCATCATTAATATGCAATCTCGACCCAAATAAATAGTTACCGACTTGTGGTTGACCTATAAATAGCAATTGAAGTAATAGATTATTTCATATTATAAATAAAATATTAATGTAATGAGCATAGACATCTAAAAATAATTATTCTTACCACCCCAAGTCTTGAGCTTTGCCATACGTAGGATGATGATCACAAGAGCATTTTCATTTTGATGTTCAGATATGTAGCTGTTCAACTTCAATGCAAAACCATCCTACAAAGCAACTTGCATTTTTCCTACCACTATAATTGATTGTTTGGGTTATATGAATAAAATATTAAACATGATAAATTAATGAAAAATAAAGAAAAGTACCTCAGATCTTGTGCAACAATACTCATTAGCCTTGTTTCCCTTGCATTATCCTTAAACACTCTCATGGGTTCAGTAGATACAACTTGACCAATAAAATCTATAAAAAATAAATTTGAATCAATTATTATAATATAAATTGGTTAAAAATATATATAATATAATAAATACAAAACTGTTAAAAAGCTCACCAAATGCAACACAAGTGTCAAAATTTATGGCTGTCAAATCATGAAAACTCACAAAACTAAAAGGATCGATCATATCAACAAAAGGAGTTGATACACGAATTGTGGTTGTTTTGTAGAAATTTATCTTATGCTTGTGAGCAACCAACATGTAATCTCCTTCGTTTCTGGCCATACTAAAGTTAGTGATTTGCCTTACAGCTCCTTCTTCCAGGAGGGCTTGAAATGCATTTATGAGATTTTTTTATTGTTGCATGTATTCTAGTGCCCTGTAGGTGATAAAGAATATTATTATATGAAACAAAAATAAAACATAAGTTTTTTTTTCATATTATTTTAATCTTACCTCGTAGTCCATTAAAATCATGACCAAGCTGCTGACCATGTTTGAGTTGTTTTTGTATGTCTGTTTCCAAATCATGACAACTTGAACACGAATATTCCATGATTCTTTGGAGACATCTATGTCAGCCAGCTTATCAATGACGATTTCACTGTCACTGTTATGTGTCATTTCGCTTGTGCTATGAGAAATAGAAAAGTATTAGAGATAATTATGAGATATAGTGAAAAAAGTAATTCAAAGAGTCACAAGGTTTTTGTTTAATGTAAATACGATGTTGTTCAATTAACATAGACATTCTTGGTTGGCATACTTAACCATGAAAAAATCAAAAATAAACATTAATTGTATTTTGCAAAATAATAGTTGGTTGTAATTATGGATTAATGGAAGTAGGATGGTATCAAATCAAAACATACATACTATGTTGATATATTTCACAGAAAACACAAAGCAAAAAAAAAATGAGTATGAACACATATCATATAGAAGGCTGTAGAAAGGAAGAAGTATTGATAAACAATGAAATGCGTACATTTTTGCCTTTGATTAACCAAGCTAACAATTGTTTACTACTATAGAAGGCTGTAGAAAGGAAGACGTATTGATTTAGTATCGTGAATATCAATATAAACGAAGATGTAAAAACATAGATAAAACACAATAAAAACTCACTTTTTGTAGGAGCGTGGAAGGAAAAATAAAATTGGGTTTTGGCGGAATATGTCATATATATGTATTGAATCCAAGTTGGTTTTGGAGGGATAAGATAAAAGTCATTTTTATCTTATCCATTAAATGTTGAATTTCAAAATGTAGTTAGGATAGATAATGTAGAACATTTTAGGATTATTTTTTAAAATTTAAAATTTGGATAATGTTGATGGTTAGTTAAGTTCCTGTCTTTGGTGGCTGATTTTTCGATTTGAATACGGGAAGTAGTTATGATAAACGGAAATAAATAGTGAATTGTTTTGTTAGGATGACATCACCAGAAATATTAAGAACGATCTAAGTGTTGAAATCAATCAAAGAAATCCAATGAATGGTTCTGATTGTTGAAGGTGACATCATTAGGTTTCTGTTTTAATATATATAAAGATGCTCTTCTTTTTCCTTTTTCTTTTTCCATTTTTATTTAGGAAATGAACATAAATTTGTTTTTATTTTCTTCAAATATGATAAATCCCATCAAAACATCATGGTTTCTCCATTCCCTTTTCTATAAAATTTTGAGAAAATTGCAAAGTTATGGGTATGTTCATTTCTTGGGTTAGAGTCCAATGGCTTTCAAAATTATGGGTATGGTCAGTTTGGTCTACTTTCATTATGTATGTGATCACCGGATACAACCCTGTTAAGATCACATGTTAACACACCCCACTTGCCCCTCATATGAAGGTAAATTGTCTTTTCATTTTGGTCTCATTTCCACTTCATTACCGCCATTATGGAAATACATTACTAACTATGCTCACACAAATAAACCTTAGATTTCAAATGTCCTTTCATCTTCTTTCTCCTTCATTTTCATCCTTAAACCCTAGAAAAGACTCATTCTAAACATGTTTTTTATCATTGCCACAACAACCACTCATGTATGCAAACTAGGAAGGTGAGAGCTTGTTGTAACAACCCAAAATTTTCCAACAAAATTTTCATTTTTATTTTTAGCAAAAACCTCCAAGTGTCATAAAAACCAAAACAAGAAATCACAGGTGTATCAATACAATCATCCCAAAATGAGAGTATAAAAAGGCAGAAATCATAAAAATATCTGCAAGCCGGAGTGTACAGTCAAGCTGTAACACCCAGTTTTGGAAGTACTCGGGTGTGGTCTCGGAGGCCAAAGGTATAAGCGATTCGGTCTTTTTGGGTCTTGGGCTTTATCGGAAGGTTTTAAGGCTTGGGGGTGTAGCTAGGAGCGAAGGGCTTCTTGCCGCCTTTTCGTGGATATAAAGTTCGTCAGAAACGGACCTCGGATGAGAAAGATATGACAATTGGAAGTTTTTGGCAATATTAGTCCCTGATGGAAATATTTAGCAAGTAAGTCCCATGCATGCAAGGGAGGCATGCACGTGTCCGGATGGGTACGCCCAGCGTAAGCTGGGTTACGCCCAGATTATAAAGGAGAAGGATCGCGGGTGCCTTAGGTGTACGCCCAGCGTACGTCCACTGTCCAGAAACCCTTAATTTTAGGGTATGCCACTATAAAAGGAATGATAAGCCTCTAGGGTTAGCCTCCATTTCCACCCTTGGATAGTTCTCACGAAAAAACTAATCCTCTTGGAGCTTGGAAGGCCTTGTGAAGGCATTATGGTGTTTTGGATCCACTCTTTAAAGAAGCAAAGGTTAAGGCAAGGTGTTGGTGCAAAGGAGAAGGTTCAGATCTGGGATTGTTGCTTCACTTCAGGCCTTTTCAAGGTATAAAGTTCTGAGCTTGATGATTGTTCTCTTAGATCTCTTTTAGGAGGAGTTTATGGATTCTTTTAGTCCAAAGAATGGATCTTTTGATGAAATCTCGTTTTTGAGCTTAGGGTTGCCACCCTTAGAGCTAAAAGGGTCCCATAAGCTGTAAAGTCTCCACCTTGAATGTCTTAATGGGTTCATGCATGAGATCTAGCCATTTCCATGGAAGTATGTTGTTACATTTCAAGTTTGGGCTCATTTGGTGGATTGCAAGCCACCAAGTAGTCGACTTTATGGATTAAGACATTAACGAGGACTTGGATCTGTAACTGTAGCTTCTGCACTAGAGTATTAAGCACTTAATGGGAAAGTGACTTAACAGTGGGGAGTACGCCCAACGTACTCACCAGTCAAGGGTTTACGGTCAATGGTTTGCGGTCCAGTGTTTGCGGTCAAGGGTTTGCGGCCATGGGATAGTGACGTGGCAGGGGGTACGCTGAGCGTACTCATCAGTTATGGGCTTGTTGTGTTTTGGGCCTTGGTTTGGGCCATGTAGTGGACTTTGGGTCTTTGGGCCTTAGTGGGCCATCAGAAGTCAGATAATGTAGGCCAAGGAGATGTATGTGCTTAGGGAAAGACCCATTAGAGGGATTGGGCCCAATTTAGCAAATTGGGCCATTAGTAGGCCACTAGTGGGCTTGGGAAGCTTACCTAGTGTTGGGCCTTATTTATGGACCAAGTTGGATCAGGGGTAAAATGGTCATTTTACCCTAAGGAGGATTATTAAATTGGACTAAATGATATTTTGGTATTGATAGCTCGGGGAGCCGAAGGATCAGCGGTTCAGGGATTTGTCAGCTAGTAGTCAGAGGGTTGGTTGCAGGACTTCAACAGTGCGAGGTGAGTCTCCTCACTGTGTGCATGGGTCTACGACCACAATGCCGACCCATTATGTTTATGTATAGTAGGAAGACCCAGGGGTTAGCCCTAGGTTTTTATTATTATATGTTACGGGTTACGACCTGATTTCGGGCGAGGCCCGAGGAATGTTAGGATGCTAGAGGTATTTTTGATTCTTGCATGTGTGGGTACGATAGGTCCCAGACCGGGGGTCCGATGTCGGGGTAAGCCCGAAGTATGTTTAGATGATAGCATGTTTTCGGACCGAGGGTCCGATGCCGGGGAAAGCCCGAGGAAGGTTTATAGGTTGCATGTTAGATTATACTTGTTGTCTTTGTGATACTTGTATGTGCCTGGTAAAGAGGTGAGTGTAGGCGATGTCCCATATCTCATCACTAGCTGAGTATGGATGGGGTTCCGTATCTCAACACTAGCAGAGTAGAGGCGAGGCCCGTGATAGGAGAGGGGTAGGTGTGGGCAGGGGCCCATATCTTACTACTAGCAGGAGTGTGGACGGGGTTCCACAACTCATCAATTGCAGACCAGGGGCGGGGCCCAAGATAGGTGAGGCCTTAGATCAGGAGTACAGTTAGAATATGTTTATTTGTGTGCTAGTATGTTATTTGATTGTACGTACGTGTATAGCGGGCGAGGCCCAGAGACAGGCGGGGCCTAAGGGAGACAGATCCGTATACCGAGCGGGGCTCGATGCCAGGCGGGGCCTGATGTCGGGCGGGGCCCGATGCCGGAGCGAGTCCGATGCCGGGCAACTCCCGATGCAGCGGGCGGGGGCCCAGTATGTGATTATGTGTATGTGGTTATGCGTATGTGGTATGTGGTAGGTTGGGGAACTCACTAAGCTTTGTGCTTACGGTTTTCAGTTTTGGTTTCAGGTACTTCCGGTAGCGGAGGGAAGAGCTCGGGATGATCGCATGGCACACACCAAGAAGTTTTTGCTTGGGATGTTTACTCAGATAAAAAGGATATGTTTTAAGACAATACTCTGATTGATATAACGATTTTAGTTTATGAATGATATGTTCGATAGTTATGGGTTTTAATTAATGATTTAAAACGAAATTTTTGGTCTTGATTTTTGGGACGTTACAAGTTGGTATCAAAGCCTTAGTTTGAGGGATTCGGGCACACTCTCGGGTGTGACTGAACTCAAACTAAGGATTTGGTAAGACAATTTTCAAAAGTAAATCGTTTTTATAAAAAAGAACTTTGAAAAGAAAAAGGATTTCAAAAAGGAAAAAGGGCTTTGAAAAGAGAAAAGGGTGTGGTGCATGCAATCAGCCGAGCTCAAGTAAGTTCTCCCAAATTACCCATACAAGTTTATGTTATGATATGATTATGTTGGGTCAAAAATATGGCTTATACTTTGCTTTTCTGGGAAAATATATTTTTCTATAATGTAATATGTAATTTTGATATGAATGATGTAATATAGGCACGAAGAATTTAACGGACTTGACTAGGTGCAGATGAACTTAAGGAACCTAGAGACTTGATAAATCTTGACCTAGATAGTTCTGTTTAGCCTGACAATACGACGCTCGGATAGGTTGAGCGGGGAGATATACGTGAGAATCCACCAGTCACATTAAGAGAACCCGTATCTAGAACTGTGGTTTAACTTTTCCTCGATGTACGGATTCTGTCCTTAATTCCGGTATTGATAGGGCGACTGGGGAATTCCGATAAAGTAGGTCTGTAGAAAATTATTTTCTTTCTTTCTTACTGTTAGTCATATGTTGCCTCCTTTACGTGATTGGAAGAGATCCGACCTGGACTGCAACATATGTAAATCTATTTCTCTGCATATTATATCTATGAAATTCTTCCTATCTGTTAGCCAT